GCACAGCCACTATTTCGGCACGCTGCGATCTACACGAGTGACGCACCATTCATTGTGCACTGTTGCTACAGTTCAATGTCTCCCCAAAGATAAAGGCAATTGTATTCGCTCTGTGCCGTGGAAATAATAATGCCATGGTCGACTACTCTCCTTGCACAGTTTAGGTGAGGAGGTGGCATTAGGCGCCTTGACCTCCTTTGGGCTTAAGTGGGCCAATTCTCATTAGTTGGTGCCACCCATGCACTTACTCTAATACAATCGAAACGACCCCTCTTGGTGTACAATTTACGTGCTCCAAATAATCCAACCCACCTTCATTTGATTGAGGCGTGTCATTTTGGGCAGTGTCAGGTCCTTGTTGCTCTCCTTCCACAACTGCCTCTTTGAGAGGACAATATTCTACCTCTTCTTGTAATCCTAGCAAGAGAAGAGTAAATGCTTGACTTATTGCCGTAAGAGAAGAGCGAGACTCCTAAATTGCATCAAATAGGCGGCATTTATCCACTCTTTCTTGCACTGAGAACAAATGCGCAACACTGAAACCAGGACCACGACACTGACACTACTTTGCTCTCGACCCTTCCGTATCCATATTGGATCTTGGCCCTCGTGACTTTCTCGCATGTGAAGATCCTCTCCCTTCGCAGCCTCAACTTCTACTAAGTCTGGCGCAGCTTCAACTTCACTCAGATGCTCGAATTTCAACACACTCAGTTGAAAGAACCCCCAAATGCAATCACAAGTGTTCTATGTCTTAACAGTTCGTATTGCTCTCCTAATTTTGTGCACCTTCACTGCCTAGCCTTGATCGCGCAATTCCTTGACGAAACAACTTACCCAACAAAGTCAAACTGTTCGGCAACGCTTCAGATATTTCACGAATTTTCCTATTTCCCCTAACTCATTTTTCTAATTTGTGCTCTTTCTCCCCTTCTTAACGTAAAACTCGAATCTACAGTTTCTGAATCCTTCCTCCTCAATCCTCTTTGCACTACACACTCAC